GGTGGATTAGGAGTATTAGCTGAGGGCGGGATCCGTCGTTGTGCACGAGGTAGGTCTAGATTGGAAGGTACTTGTGCTGCAGTTTTTTTGGGGGGGTTAGGGTGCGACTGTTGAGGATGCTGCGGCGGTAATTTGACTCTTTAGGGTATATGAGGGAGAATTTGCTGACGTGGAGGATGAGGTTTGCTTTGGGAGATCTGAGGCACCTGAATTTGACTCTCTGCTTATAAAAATGTTTATAAATTTTGCATCCTTTGTAGTTTGCTGGATGTTATTTATCACAAATGGCACATTTCGCAGACAGGTCTCGAGGTCTCTGACAAGAGTCCGATGCGTGTGGGCTAGTACATTTCACGCACCTGGCCTTGTGATGGCAATAGGTCTTTGTATGCCCCAAGTCTTGGCACTTAGTGCATTGCACTATTTGTTAGATCCCTCTTAGTTTATGTCAAACTTCGAATGAAGCCTAACTATTTAATTGTGATTTAATAAAAGAGAAAAAAAAAAGAAAGAAAGTGGACTGTATCTTCAAACATTTATTTTGGAACATTTACGAAATCTAATATTGAAAACAGAAAAACAAAATGAATCAATTTTACACTTGTTAGATATGTAAAAAAAAATAAAAAAATAATTGTGACAATATTAATGAAATATTTTCAAGCTTGATCATAAAAAAAAAACTATTTCTATGGCCCAAATTGCAATAAAAAAAACAACTTCTCTAGAGTCCCAATATGAAATTTATTTATATATATATATATATATATATATATATATATATATATATATATATATATATATATATATATATATATATATATATATATAAAACAAATAATTATATTGTACAACGTTACGTGGAGGAAGCAGGACGTTCGTAAACCTCTGTCTCTATGCAGAAACCAATTGTAACTAGTCCTGATTTTCGATTTCAGGTGCCTCGGTGGAGTTTTTCTCAGCAAGTGAACTAAGACTTTTCATTGCTATGTTATGCGATCTCCGCTTGAGCAGATTTTTATGCATTTCGCAGCCTCTGTAGCTCACAGGGTGAGCTTTACCACAAAGAGCACATGTCTAGGTTTCTGGCCAGTGTCAGATGGGTGTGGCCCCGCCCATTTAACACATCATGTCCGATGATGGCAGTAAGTCTTTGTATGTCCTAGGTTTTGGCATTTAGTGCATTGCACTAGTATGGGTTTTTATCTTGGTTCCTCGAAACATATAGTTGAGTATACCAGTCTTGTTAATAATAATAAAAGGCTTAGCGAACCCGAAGGTTCGATGCCGACACCACCAATCACTTATTACACACCTCCCTCCACCGTTCGCAGTCCAAACCCAGTCCCTTCAGATCGGCTTTAGTGCAATCTTCCAACTTTCACTTCGGTATACCCCTCGGACGTTTACCATTCGGTACTGCAAATATTAATTAACCTTTTAGGAATTTTCTCGTTACTAAGCCCAACAATTTTACAAGACCATTTGACTCGCCATACCAGTCTTGTTACTTGAAATATATCAATGTTGTTTCTGGCTGGTTCAAGGAGGGGGTTCAGAAAAACCTTTTGGCTCCGGAGTCCGATTCGTTGAATTGTTGGCTGTAACTATGTTACTGATAAAAGTAGATGGTGGGTTTGGTTCTGATTTGATAGCTGTATTGGTTTTACGACGTGTGATTGGTGTCGATTTGTTGTATTCAAGTTTATTTTTTTTGCAGTCTTATTATTTTTTTTTTATTAGGTGAGTTGCTACCCTACCCGAGGTCAGAGTTTCGGTGGCGCTTTTGCAATGTCCTTTTTTTTAATATTGTGAGTCTGTTTCACTTATTTACGAAAATGGGGTCCCTTCCTCCGATTTTTCGCAATACGTATTTTTATCAGGTAAAGATAGAATAAAAAAACAAAACAAAGAAAGAAAAGCTATATATATATATATATATATATATATATATATATATATATAGTATATCTAAAATGAAACTTTACGAATAAAATTCCTAAAATCTAAAATATTTACATTAGCAAAATAAAGAATTTTCTTAATATACATAAACAAAGATAAAGAATCTCAGAAATAAAAAAAAATAAAAGGAAAAGAAAAGAAAAGAAAAAAAAAAAAAGAAATCGTTTAAGTATTTAGGATCAAACTAGGTACCAACTGAATGAAAGGAATATTTATATATTGAGCCTTGGCCACGAATCAAACGTAGATAAGGTAAGACCCGCTAGGGAATTACCGATCATCTCTTCTAAATTGGTTTCAGTTTATAAATAATTAATTCTTTTTAAGGTCTCTCAACTTACTATTTTAATGCGAAAGTGTTCAAATGTTCACAAACCCACTGTTTACAATTTGTAGCAGCAATATTTTCAGAAATAGACAGATAACTGTGTAACAAACACTGAGCGATGCAAGCATTGAACTGTAATTGCGGCCATGACACTTGAGACTAGTTTATATTAATCCATTTTTATTAGTACTAACAATGTGAGTTGTTTTTAAGAAAATTCCAAAAATGTGCGAAATAACGACGACATAAAATGCCATTTCCACTGAGTCGATTTTGACGAAAATGTTGCTGTGACATCCGAAGGAAGTTCTTCTTTACTCTGATGGCGCTATGGTCCGTGAAAATCTCTGGCCTCTTCCATCTTCTACAATCCTTCTCCACTCCATCCTGTTCTTGGCTATCTTCTTCCAATTTCTCGCTCCAAGCATTCTCAGGTTATCAGGTCAGATTATCTTATTGTCATTGTTTCTGCTGAGGCAAGAAAAACTGCAAGAGCAGATTTTATTTAGGTGGGTACAAAATACCCGAAAATCTTATATATTTTAAACAAATATCGGAGGAGGCATTGAATGTCTGGGTATTGTTACAGATTCCATTACTTCTGTTATTAAGAAGCACTTGATATATGAGCCATGTGACCTTGACCTCTTAGTAGGCGCCTTACTGGACATCACTTGGTGATAAAACCACATATCATAATCATAATCCCGTTTCATCTCCTTCCTCTACATGTTCCTTCATGACCAATACCGTAATGTCCTATATCCCTTTCTGCACATTATGGCAAATTCCCTGATTGTTTCCAATATAACTTTTATCACATTGCTGCCATCTTTGAAACTTGGCTCAGTCCTGATATCTCTTCTCCGTCCGCCTCCAAAACCAACCCTGTTCCGTCATGATCGGATAGATCGTACTGGTGGAGGTGTAGGACTGTTCGTCGATGAAAGTCTGAGTGCCACATCTTTCTTAAAATCTCGTTCATCCCATCTCCCGCACATTGAATATATGTTTTTTCAAGTTTCCTCTCTTCGTCGTTATTTTTCGATCCCCTCGTGTTGATTTGATCCCTCCCTCTGTACATATACCCCTCTTTTTAAGCATGTTATCATTGCAGATAATCTTAACACAAACCTCCTCTATGATTCTCCAGACAGAACATACCTTATTGACCTATTTTATCCCAGACAATCTAAACCTAAATCCAAATGGATGATTCCGAAAAACTATCATCAGCTCTAAAGTCTGTATCCAATATACAGTAGTTCTTTTTTAATATACATTAATATATACATATATTAATTCCTATGCATTAATCCCTAAAATTATACGTATACATTAATTCCTTTTTCGCCATCTCCTTTCCGCATTTTCGCCATCTCCTTTCCGCATCAGACCTCTCAATTTTTTCCATCACCGAAATCCCCTTTGATCATGGAAAATTTTATTTTCTTGATATTTCTCTTACTGATCTATTATCTGCCATCCTCAAATCCAAAACCAAAACCCCACTAAATACCTGTTAAAATCATTAAACTCTGTCTTTCTGCCTTATTTCCAGCACTTTTACACATATACAATTTCTTGTATTTCTTTCCAAAATTCCATTTTCCTCAAATCCTGGAAAAGATCAACAGTCCGCCCGTTGAACAAAGTTCCTGCTCCTTCTTCAACTTCAGACCCATATCTATTATATCCAAGCTACTGAAAAAAATAGTCCATTCTCAGTTTAACAACTTTCTTGAACAAAACCGCCTTATCAATCCTTTACAATCCGGTTTTCGTTCCCATTATTCTATCCAATCTGCCTTTCTAAAGATCTCCAATCCTCCATAGATAAATTGGAAATCTTTATTCTAATCTTTTTCGACTTTTCATAAGATCCTTCTTTCCAAACTACAAAGCCTGCCTCTATCAAGTAGTGTTCTAAAATGTTTCTACTCTTCTTATCCCTCCGCTCCCAGACAGTTGTCATCCTTAACAAATCTCCGTCGTCACCCCTCCGATTAACACTGGTTGTTCCTCCCACCATTTTCTCTATTTGTATGAGTGATCTTACAGACTCCATTCATCAATCCCGTTACCAATTATATGCCGATGACTTCCAAATTTATATATTAAATCCCATACAACTACATCGTTCAGGAAATCGTTCGTCATTCGTGCTACCATCTTCTGGAATTCTTTGCTCATCTCCATAAGGCAATCCTAATCCATAAATTCTTTCAAACACCTCTTATTCAACCTCCTATTTCATTTTCAAACCACAGCATCTATTTAATATTGATTGGAATCTGTAATTATAATAGCTTATTAACGATTAATCGACAAGTCTGAACGATTAATTTGATTTGATTTTTACTTTCACTTACCTATATATACAATATTTAGTAAGAGTAATCCTGTATAAATAAACACGAAACATCTTGAGAAGTATCTGGAGTCCAAAAAAACACGAAATTCAAAAGGGATTAAAGACAAGATTAAAGAAGGGTAATAATTGTTATTTTGCAATTGCAAAGCATTTAGTTCTTATCTTATTTCCTGAAACTTAGAAGTTAGATAACCCTCCAGTTCCTACAGTCAATCAAAATGATATTTTTATTTTTTTTTTAGCAACGCTGTTCTTTTAAATTGAATGTTTTTTAGACTGGTGAGTAGTTAAAAAAAGTTATAATTTTAGTTGAAATTAGAACGGTGCCTACTGATGTCTTTAGGTGCAGAATGTTTACGTTCCACCATGTTTTTCAGCAGATGTTTCGATACCTAACAAATCAAAACACATAAAAAGTTTTCAAACATTTAATTTATCCATCGATAAAAAAACAACATGAATATCATTTTTACTAAATATTTTCCATCCATTTTCGGTGAAATACAAGAAAGGATTAGATGTGAACAAATACAAAGTGATACAAGCAACATATGAACTAGAGGTTGATCACTATAAATGAAATAGGTTCCATAGATGGCGAAAGACACCTACATAATGAAAAAAACATTCCAAAGTAAATCGAGTCTCGATAATTCGAAATCCCAGGAACTGCAAGAAAAAATCGAATTATCGAGATTTCGAGTTATCAAAAAGTTTGAATTATTAAGATAAAATAAATAAATTTAAATTATTAAGAATTTTTATTATATTTTTGAAAATATATCTGACCTTAAATAAATTTTATATGTGTATAACCTCATGTAAAAAATATTACCAGGAAAATTTCGAATTCCTATTTATATTTTTTTTATAAGAATAGGGGGAATGGTCTAGTTCGAATTATAGAACGTTCTCTCCACCTCTTGTTAAGAAAAGTATTTCGAGTTATGGAGCTATCAAAGTACAGATTTTTTTTAATTTACCGAACTTAACAGCTGAAGAATTTCGAATTATCTTGGTTCGAATTATAGAGAGTCTACTGTAGTGCAAACACGATTAAAAATGTGCACTTGGAGGAGCCTTTGGGAACTGGCGGGTTAAAACTTCTATTTCACTAATTTATTTATTTATCTGTCAAACTCACTTAATAATCTGATTCAAGGTGAGGAGACCTACTGGACTGAGATTGACTATTGGAGGACGGAGCAACCCGTGGTGAGAGTAGTGCGCCGACGAACGACTGCCAACAAGAAAGAAAGGAGGAGGACCCAGAGCATTAACAATGCCTTTGCAGATCTTAGAGAATGTATTCCCAACGTACCTCCGGATACTAAGCTATCAAAGATCAAAACCTTGCGCTTGGCTACCTCCTACATTGGCTACCTAATGGACGTACTCGGTGGCCAGGACTGTGGTGAGGGATTCAAGGCAGATCTCCCACCTCGCCCTCGCCTCCACACACAACCAACGATACACCTGCAAGTAAGCTATCCTATTTAGATTTTATGATAAGAAAATTGCTGAACTTTGGCCTCTTAATAGTGAAAAAAAATCTGGTGCGCTCAACATACAACTTTCACTTACCGCTCAACTTTAAATAGAAATTATTTTCTGGTCAAGTTGGGCTGTTATAAAATTTTTGAATTGGATTTTTAACTGGTCTAAAGCTAAAAGTTTATAGCTAACAAATCATAAATACCATTAAAATAACAAAAGTCCTATTTATTATATCACCGGTTGATTATGGATTGTACGATCCGTTGATTATGGATAGTACGATCCGTTAATTAGGGATTGTATGATCCGTTGATAATGGATTTTACGATCCGTTGATTATGAATTGTACGATCCGTTGATTATGAATTGTACAATCCGTTGATTATGGATTGTGCGATCCGTTGATTATGGATTGTACCATCCGTTGAATATGGATTGTACCATCCGTTGAATATGGATTGTACGACAATTAGTTATTAAACTGTTATTTTCCATTGCAAAGTTTACTAAAATGGAATTAAGAGATTTGCAATGTCTATCATTGTGGATATAGTAGGAATATCACAAAGTGAAAATTCATCAAATTATTCACTAATTTAATTTTCTAAAAGGTGACATGATGATTTTTCGGAATAAACGGACAATAGATACCTAATTATGTAAATATAATATCAGATCTAGAGTTATTAAACGACAGTAAATATATCTAAGGTTATAAACATATCCATGAAATATTTTTATATTTCACTTCTTCTTTCACACAAGTACAATGAAATAGTATCTTAAACAATGTCATTGCCTTGATTCCGTAGATTTTAAATATTTTTTGAAATATAAGTTTAATGTAAAAAATAACAATGGACAGTGGCTAATAAACTTTTGTGTTGATAATGAATTCCTCATAGGGTATTCATTCTACCCACACAAAAGAATTCATAACATTATTTTCTCGTACTTGGAGCGAAATAGTATAATTGACTATTTTATATATGATCGGCACATTAGACAATATTTCGCTGATGTAAAGATCGTGAGAGGAGCAAAGATAGGCAGTGACCACCTTCTACTTGTGGCCGATACAAAGATAATTATAGATAGTAAAAGAAAAGCAAAGGCATTTAAGACTCTGAATATTAGAGCCTTGGATGATCCAGAAAAGAGGTTACTCTATACGGAGAATTTAGAATATAAATTAAGAGCAACAACTTTCGACGGAGACGTAGAAGGTATCTGGAACAAATTAAAGTCATTTATTCTGGAGGTTGTAAATGCTGTATGTGGGAAAAGGAAGGTATCTGGTAAGGGAAAGCGGACTGACTGGTGGACCGAGGACGTTCAATGAATAGTTGCTCGGAAAAAGCTTGCCTGGAAAGCGTACTTTCAAGATAGAAACGAGGAAAAGCTACAAATCTACCGAACAGCCAGGAATGAATGCAAGGCAGCCGTTAGCCAGGCCAAAAAACGTTCGTGGGAGGATTTCGGTAAAAAACTGAGTGAAGACCATCGTGAATCCATAAGAACGTTTTGGCGAAAAATTAAATTTTTAAGAGGAAAGAAAATCAAGCCCGTCAGAAATGTAAAGGATAGCGATGGATCCCTGCTTACCGAAAAGGAAGAGATCCTGAACAGATAGAAACTACATTTTCAGGAACAATTCTCCGAAAATCCAGAAATACGTCACTGCCAAGAACAAGAGCACTCTACTCTAGAAAGCCTAGAGGTAATAGAAGAATAAGAAATAGAAAACACAATCCAGACTCTAAAAGCAGGAAAGGCACCGGGAAGAGATGGTATCGCCCCAGAATGTTTGAAATATGGTGGAAACAAACTCCTTAAAGTCCTTCAAAAGCTCTTCCAGGAAGTATGTGATAGAAAAAAAATTCCCATTGGGAATATAGCATAATCCTTCTAAATTATAAAAAAAGGCAGTTCAACGGACTGCAATAACTATAGACCCATCAGTCTGCTCTCTGTGGTCTATATATTGTATACCTTAGAAAGGAGGCTCCGGCGGATTGTGGAGGGACAGCTGGAAGGTGAACAGGCTGGTTTCCGTCCTGGCCGGCAGACTCAGGATCATTTCTTTGTTCTTAGAACTATCGCTAAAAAGGGCTGGGACAGAAACAAAAACCTGTACCAGGCATTTCTTGATCTAAGGACAGCGTTTGACTCAGTTCTTAGGAAAGAAATTTAGAACGCTTGGTTGCCAAGGGCTTGTCTGGAGATTTGATTGAGGCCTTGAAATCAACCTACCAGGGAGATACTGGAGTGGCAAGGATAAATGGCACAGAATCAGAACCTTCCCTAATTGTGAGAGGACTCAGACAGGGAGATCGTTTAAGCCCCCTACTGTTTATAAACTTTATGGACGAAATCCATAAAATCTGCAAGCGTCGGACTGCTTGGACTACAATTGGAACCTGGAATATGAGAACTGTCCTCGTACAGTGCTTTTTTATATGCGGATGACATTGTGCTCATCGCCGATTCCAAGATGAAATTACAGCAAGCACTGGTAGAATGGGAAGAAGAGCTGCTGAGGAAAGGTATGCAAATAAATGCCTCCAAAAGTAAAGGGATGATTATGGCTAGAGTAAAAGAGGAAGACATCCAATTACTTTGCAACGGAGAGATTCTTGAGGTAGTAAAGGAGTACACCTACTCAGGTACCATAATTACTAACTCTGGTAAGATAGATGCTGAGATTTCGTCTAGAATATCTAAGGCGAATCAAGCATATCACCAGATCGCTAGCAGTATCCTCAACTGCCATGAAGTGGATAAAAATACCAAGATGCTATGTTGGACAAACATTATAGTCGCATAACAGCAGCGGAAATGCGATTCCTACGTAGATCGGTGAGGGATCGCATCAGAAATGAAACTATAAGTGAACAGCTGGAAGTTCCTGAACTCAAAATCACCTTGGAGAACAGGCAATTAAGGTGGTTTAGACATGTCTGCCGCATGAACGAGGACATGGACCCTATAATGATATTAGATGCTCGACCCGCAGGGAAGAGACCACGAGGGCGTCCCCAAGTCTCATATCAGAAGTTCATGGAGAGGATTTGAGGTAGAAGAGGCAAATCCTTCAACCAAATGAAGCGGTTAAGCAGAGACCGGAAAGAGTGGTTGCGCTAGATAGAGGCTCCTCGAAGCTAGAAATGGTATTGTGAGGAAGACAAAGAAGAAGAAGAAAACACGTGATGTACGTTAAATAATGTTAATTTTTAGAAATTATTATTAATTTTTTTTTACTCCACTCTCTGTTATCTTCTACAACTTTCTGTATTATATATTGTTTTTTTCTGAAATTCTCTGCTTTCCAACGACATATTATATACCTTCTGACTAGTATTTGCGGAGATTCATTTTCGACCTGTATAAGCATTTTTATTTTTATTTTTTCCTTTATTCATATATCAAATTCTTTCAAATGTTATGTTTGGCATTATTTTGTAACTCTTAATAATGTGAGATAGTCAATTATTTAAAATAAACCATATCAAAGGTGCTTTAGAGGAAGGCGTATATGAATATTGGGCATTTAAGCCCTGTAAAGTGACATCAATAGGGATAAGATCTAATTGATATTAAAGACCACTTAATTATACAATGATACACTGAGTTTAATCAAAATAGTTAGAGGCGTTTTAAGAAAATTGTAAAAATGTGTTTCACCGTTGATATAAAGTAGCAATTTCGGTAAGTCGATTTTAAGAAAAAAGTTGCTGTCACATCTAAGGCACATACCTATTAAATACGTAATATCAGTTTCGGCCGACTTTTCGTTTTAGAGCTAGACTGTTAACATACACACATGCAGACACACAGACCATTTTGGGGGGCTTAGTTATTTGGTTTCGGGGTACCTCAAAATGTCTATTTCTGTTGAAAACTCAGATTCTAAAATTTTCACGATCGTAATACTTTTCCTTACTATACATTGCATATACAGATAAGTGAAAGTGAAAATCCACATGTAAAAATTAGCCCTAAAAAGTTAGTAAAATATCGAGAAAGTTTCTAGATGAATAGAAAGTATTAGTCAAAAAACTATCTATTCCATTAATAATCCGTATCCACACCTTTGAATTCTAATAAGTTGTTTTGCTATGCATTTTTTTTATATTTTAATACTATTGATTTGCTTCTCGACGTATTTGTTTTGCTGGAAAACACCATTTTAGAGTTACAAACCAATAACTCAAAATTTCGTGTTACTTCTCAGCTGTAAAGTATGCCTTATTACGCTGTCATCTTATTGTTTATGCAACTTTTCTAATTAAGCTCTCATGAGTTTTAATTAGGCAACATTCAAAATTATGGGCAACATTCTAATTTTATGCAGTGGACTGTATCTTAATGGATTGGTAGGTTATGCTGATTGTGCAAAAAATAGCTCACCGTCTTTATGCCTGCTTACATCTTTTCGTTAACTTGAGGACCCTCTGGTGGAGGTGGTGGTGTGTCCAGAGTGACTACTAATGGAGAAGTGACTCCGAGAAAACCGGCAGCTAGTACAGATTAAGTGTTATCTCTTAGATCTTCTGATCTGCTCCCATCACTCGCCGGAACGCGGAAAATTCAAACCATTTTGGCACAAACATATCCCCCATCGTGAAATATCTCATTTCACAAACAGAAAAAGAAAAACCAAACTCAGAGATTGGTGATTACCAGGCAAGACACAAACGCGAGGTAAATTGCTTGGTTTACAATAAAGAAAGAGAGGAATTAGGTTAATAAATTACAATTAACTTAAATTAAAAATGACTCCTCATTAAATTTAAACAAAAAAAATATTCATATCAATAAAAAGTTTCTCCAGAAGGAAGAGGCACTAACTTGTGCACCGGCCGCACCAAAGTGGCTGTAGCAGTCCTCAATTTTACAAAACTACACTATCAGGCCCCGGAAGTAGTCTAGAAGTCTTTTTCATGTAGAATTACAAGGTTTCCCTCCTTTAAATTTTCCCTGTTAGTATATCACTTGTTGCGAGGCACTAGATTATGAAGGTATTCATTATATCATCTCTTCCAAAAATTACGAAGAGTCTTGGAAATCATCTCCCAACGGCTTGTCAAAGGAAACACAGGTGCGTCTTCCTGTTCTGGTCTGGCTAGGAGGGGTTGACCTATAAGAAAGTGTCCTAGGGTGAGGTAATCCAGTTTATCCGATGGCTGACTGCTAATGTTGCAGATAGGACGGGAATCAAGAACGGCCTCAACTCGTACCAGAAGAGTATAAAATTCCTCATATGTCAACGCATGATCCTAGAGAACGGCAAGAAGGTGTCTCTTTGCAGATTTAATCGCTGCCTCCCAAATAACATCGAAATGAGGAGATGCTGTAGGAGCAAAGGTCCACTTTATACCCGTCCAACTTAAATGATCAGAAATGGTTGAATTTTACAAGTATGCTCCCAATTCCTTTTTAAATATTTTATTTGCTACATTTAATAGAATTTTTGAAGTTTCCCAAAAGGATATTTCTGAAGGATGAAATGTTTTAGATGGAAGGATCAATTGGAGTGGGATATAGAGTTCTGCTTCAATACAGTCAAGGTGGATTGGATTTAGGATATCTGAATGTGGATTAAATGTTTTGAAGAGGTGCTGAGCAAATATTTGAGATTTTTCTTCATCAGATCTGGACCAGGTTTGGGTTTCAGTAATAAGTGGGTGGTTAAAATCTTTGAATTTTAAGAGCTTTTTAGTGGTCAACCATAGTGATTTGTCAGTAGTTATAAGATTTTCTGTTAAGTTAAGTAAATTTTGGATTTTCTAATTTCAGCTTTTAGTTAGTTAGTTAACTTGTTGTAATATTGCTTGTCTGATGGGTATCTAGTCCTATGCTACTACGATCATGCTCTGCGTTCTTCCCTTAATAAGATACGAATGTGCTGTGGCAAGTTAGTCTGTTGGGAGTTGTTATTTTTATTGGTTGATGTTTTATCGTTAATTTTGTCACTTATAGATGTAGTGAAGTACCTCTATGACTGAGTCAATGTCATGTTTCGTCTCAAGTAGAATATTTAGATCCAATTTATCTTCCAAGTCTTTACGAAATTTGACCCAGTTTACTCGTTCTGTAATAAGTGAAGGAGAAAAGGAGGGCTTAGGAAAGAAGGTTGAGTGTAATGAAAGCAGAACTGGACTATGATATGAGGAGAGGTCATCCAGGGATTTGAAAGGGACTTAGGAAGAGGAAATCTGGTAGGTGAAAAATATGTCCAAGATATCAGGTCGTTTTTGAGGGAGGTTGGCCAATAGGTAGGTTTCATAGGAGAGAGGATGGAGTAACTATTAGAAGTTGAGACAGAAGATAGTATGTTACCACGGGAGTTGGATGCTCGACAACCCCATCGTTGGTGTTTAGCGTTATAGTCTCCTCCAGCAATAAAGCGCGGTCCGAAGGATTGGAATAAGGATTCAAACGGATTCTAGGTAAGAATGACCAGGAGGACAGTATACAGCTGAAAGTGTTAAATGGAAAGGACGAGTTGAAATGATAACCGAGGTTGCTTGAATAGCCTCAGTTGGAGTAGAAGGAATGAGGGAATGGGATAAGGATTTATGGATAAGGATGCGAGAACCGGCATGGGAAGTGTTGTCGGGGTGGTCTGATCTATAAGTGATGTAGTCACGTATGTAGAAATATGAACGTTGAGTGAAGTGAGTTTCTGTCAGTAGAGCAATATCAATGTGGTTGTCATGAAGAAAAATGTCAAGTTCGTCTCGGTGGTTTTTTAGTCCGTTAGCATTCCATAAAAGAACAGCTAAGGACTTTGTGCTCATCGTGGGAGATTAAAGAGAATTTCGGTAAAGTATCTTGTGAGGAGGGTTATTAGGGGCTTGATGGTATCTTGGAGATCTTTCAGGAAGGAGGCAAGGGTGGAGTGGATTAAGTCGATCGGGTTTTGTTGGTCAGCTGGAATTTTTGAGGGATAGCTCTTATGATTAGGAGTGTCTGATGGATGATGTACCTCCGTGATGTACGAGAGGCTGAATCATAATTAGATAAAATTTGGGAAGGAGAGTTAATGTGAGGAATAGGATGGGAATGTACTGGAATTGGATCTTCAGGCGGTAGTTTGACACGTAGAGGTATTTGATAAGGAGAGATTGACTGACGTGGTGATTTTGAGTACATGTGGGAGGTCTGGAGCTTAGGTTTGGAAGCCTGGGTCTTAGGTTTGTAAGACTGAGGCGTCTGACGTCGCAGTTGCTGATTCTTCACTGTGGAATCAGGATATATTTGTCTGGAGTCCTGATGTGGATGATTTGTTGATGTAGAAGGCTGTTGTGTAAATTGTGGTTGTGGAAACGTTGCCAAACTTTGTAGTTTGCGTGCCTTTGCCTGGATAGTATTATTCGGTTCTTGGTTTTTTAATATGTTATAAGTCCTTTGCTTATATAGCCTCTTGTAAACAATGCAGCTCCGATAGCTTGCAGGGTGGTCCTCACCACAAAGGACATTGCTCACACATAGGATTTTGCTGGTTCATTTAATGGTTTCTGATATGTGTCAGAGGTCTGAGAACTGGCACATTTGACACACCGCGCCGAGTGATGGCAGTAGGCCTTTGTGTGCCCTAAGTTTTGACACTTGGTGCATTGCACGACTGTTGGTTTCTGCTTCGGTTCTTCAAATTTTACTGTTGAATAAAGTAGTCTTTTAACATCGAAGATTTCAGAATTATTCCGGACTGGTTCTAAATCAATAACAAATAATGGAAGTGGGTATTTATCGATTGGATGTAAAACAGAAGATATATGTCTTAAATTGTGGCCGATATCTTCGAGATCTTTTTTTATAGCAGTACTGGGAGTGGTTGAGTGAAGACCTCTCAAAACAACCCTATATGTTTTTCCTCTTTTAATTGATAGTAGTGAGGCGGTTGAGAGAGTAGCGCAGGGATTTGGGTTCCCCACCTGATTATATATAGGTATGATTGTATTTTTATGTTTTTAATTTACTTATATTTAGGTTATTTTATTTTTTTATTGTATATAGTTTTTATTTATTATTATTTAGCTATTATTTTACTTTTGTTAATTTACTTTTTTGTTTGTATATACGGTGTGAATGTTTTCATTTATCAATATAACTATTGTCCCCGTGACAGAATATTATATGTCTAAATAAAATAAAATAAAAATTAAAAAAAAAAAAAAAAAAAGAATTGATAGCAGTGGAAGTCATAATTGTGTGATGTCAAGTGATTTATAAGTTTGTTATAGTCATCTTTGGTGTTGGTATTCATTTTCATGTCATTGATACGAGAAAAACAACGGAAATTGGTCTGGCCGATTAGATTAGCTAATTCTTGACCGAACTGCATGAAGTTGTCATTTTACTTACATATATGGGTGGTGGCTCTGGTTCAATGAAAGTTTGAGTAATTTCGATATTTTTATTATTGACGACAACAGAATTGTTGCTGGATGTGCTAGTAGGTGGTTTAGTTTCAGCTTTCATAGTTGAATTATTTTTAGAGTTTGTTTTAGTTTGTTTATTTTGGTCTGCTTTGACTAACTGCTTTGATTTAGCGGATTTATTTAATTTTTTATTTGGTGAGTTGCCCGCCGACCCGGGGCAGAGTGTCTGTTGCGCTTTGGTAGAGTTCGCATGGTTAAATATTGAGAATCAGTCCCACTGATTTCGGAGAAGGGAGTCTCTTCATCTGATTCGTAACATGAAATGTTTCTCTCAGGTTCTATACCTCTAAATAATATATACAAAAAATATAAGAAGAAGAAGAGAAAGAAAACAAAAATATCACTAATAAGAAAATATACAAAATAAATACTTAATAAGTAATCTATTTACAAAGATATATACAAATATTAAATAAAACATTTTCTGTAAATAAATAAAATAAAACTCTAAGTAAAAAAATAAAAACAATAATGAACAAGTAAATAAAAGAGAGAGAAAAAAAAATTATACAGTGTCTTAGGTACGTACTCACGATTGTCTGACGTAAAACCAAGCGCCGTGGCCGTGAACTTGAAAGATAAGACCCGCTGAGGGAATTATCTGCCACGTAAACTGTCTCTACCAGACGAGTATCTATTTAATGTTACTAATTGTTATTAAAAAGTCACTCACCTCACTAATTATAACGTAAAAATGTTTATAAACACTCTGTTTGCAAAGTCTCAGAAAGGGATTTAAGATAACAACGAGATGACAATGTAGCAAAGACAGAACGATATGAATATTGAACTGCAATTGCGGCCATGACACTTGATACTTAGAAATTTATTTCGGGATCAATTAATACATTTAATAAATGGAAACAATTTGTTAGAATTGATAAATTACTGCAAGTCTGCTTTCTCCTATAGAATAATGCTCACCAGAGAATTTAATTTGATAATTGAATTTAATAATTAATAAATTGGAGAACTTTGGTACCACTTTTTTTGTAATTAAAATATTTATATAACTTTTATATTGTAAATATAATTGTTCTTATTAATTAGTTGTATATAAATTAGATTGAAATATAATTTTGTTATAAAACACAGATTCCTCTGACGGTCAGCAGACCATGTAGCACGTCTGATTTTCTGTTTTAAATCCAAAAATATTGTTTTGTAATTTATATTATATAATGTTAATAAATAAAAAGACTTCTTCTTCTTCTTTTTCTATACTTCGGATATCTCCTAAATCTATTTTCCAGATTTCTAAATCTGCGTAGAGCTATCTCTCTGGTGGAATCAAGGTCAATCGGCTGGTCAGAACGGAACGGAAGCGAAACAATGAATCTACCTTGGAGATCACGAGTCTATATATTTATAACGCGATCTTCGCAAAACGCATCTTCAGGTTTCGGCGGAATTGAAACTGTAACTCAGTCTCCTAAAATTGCTTTAATTCCTCCTGTAAGGAAAGGCTGGTCTGCGTGAAAAAAGTACGTATTAGATAGGGCTAAAAAAAGTAGTAAGGTATAGGGCTTTGGCTCTCTGAGAGGGTGTCCCCAAATAATACCCATCCTAATGAGGTATGAATAGCTTTCGTTTGACCATTAAAAAATAAAACAGGGTCACTTAAAACTCCACCGTACATCTCAGCACTCAGAAGCAAATCAACTTTCCTTGGCGTATGAAATTGAGGGTCTGCTAGTTCTATTGACGCACATTTATTCCGTACGTATATATCCAGAAATATTCTAAAGTTGGAAGAATTATCAACAGAAAATTATTTAAACCGTATAATTTTGTTAAGATGGTAGGCCGCAATGATCCTTTTATTACTGTAGTGCTTTACTCATTTATCATTGCCCAAGCTGTAATTTTCTGCGTTAAACCCAATTGAAGAAATGGCCTATGAAGCAGGATGCACTAAAAGTGTATAATTCTGTATAATTTTGATG